CACACCGCACACATCACATCACACACATACACATGCACACCGCAACATCACATCACACACATACACATGCACATCACACACATACACACCTCACACATACACATGCACACCACACACATACACACCTCACACATACACATGCACACCGCACACATACACATGTAAGGGGGGGAAGTGTGATGACACAGAACCACCTGAGTTCTCTTAGCTCCACGCTTCCGCGGGACCCCAGCTGCCTCCGGTGGAAAAGGAATCTGGTTTAACCCCTTCCTAAAATCATTGACAGCTTTTTGTATGTGACCAGCCCCAGCACACACATAGAAATGTTGAACTGCTTCAAAGTTAGGCCATTTCTTCTGCTGGAAATGCTACAACCATTTCTAGAAACTAGGCTGGACTAGCAGGTATGGATGGACGAATCCATGTTTACTACAGTACACTCGTTTGTTAAGTACATTTCCGCCAACCCCGTTTGGCTCCTGCTATAGGATACGAGAGGTAAGTATTTTGATAGAGTCTTCATCCTTTCGGCAACCAAGAATGTGACCCAATACACTCAGCGACGTTGAACAAGGTCCTTAGTCTCAGATTCCACCATGCCTTAATGTCTTTGAGAAGCACCCAAAGTAGCAGGGCTGTGGCATCAGCAGTGATGGTGAATCTCAAGGTCCGCAGTCATGCAGAACACTCAGTGTGAAGACTTCGGCCACAGGCTGCAAACCGCAAGTCTTAAAAGTCTGTAGTAGGCTTGATTTAGGAGTGGGAATCAGCGACCTCTGGGGGGAACTGGTGGAGGAGGATGGAAAGGCTCCCGGGTTAGAGGCCTGTAACGAAAAATAAAGCCACTCTTTAAAATTAACCAAATCAAAGCATTCTTGAGTATCCGCAACTTGTGGCTACTTTGAAGAGCTATAAAAAAAAAAGACACTTCCTTTAGTTAGGGAGTCAGGACATACTACAAATGTCTGAATGACATAGATATCAGGGTTTCTAATCCCTGAACGTCAGAATCACCAGTGGAGCTAGTGACAAATGCCAGTTCCCAAGTTCCAGCCCTGCTCATCACAATTTCTTGAGCTTGCAGTGTGTGTTTTTTATTTTCTGTTGCTTTGTCCCCTTTGGGGCTTGTTGCGCCTGGAGGGACTGCATTTCTCTCAGATGACTAAGACCACCACACACACACACACACACACACCCGTCACCTCTTTAGGACCACTATCAATGTGTCCTTATCATTCCAGGGTCAGTCCCAGATAAGCAGAGATAGTCCCCTGCCTCAGCACCTCTTATAGCTATCCACTCTAGTGATTCCGGGTCAATTTGACCCTGTCCTACTCAGGGTTTTCCCGTGGGAACCACAATGAAAAGCTCATGGCCGTGTCTGATCTTTGTCTCCTCCGCCTCCTGACCAACACGCATGTGTGCCAATATGAACCCCAGTGATGGGGGCCCTCCCCCTGCTCCAGAGAACCATGCATCCAGCAAACTATCTTCTGGATAGCAGCTGTCTCCTGTTCTATTGACCTTGGTGTACTTAAGTCACAATAGAGCCTAGATGGGAAAATGCTAGTAATTCCAATAGGCAGCCTGGGTAGAGACTCACAGTGAAGCTATCTGAAGGAGGGACAGAGAATTCCAGTGCCTGCTTCTCACTTCCTCATTGGATCGCTAAGTGCTGCCCTAATTGTGCATGTGCCCACCTAAAAGCCCCCTCTTCATGTTCTTCTGTTTGGACTTTTGTAAAATCCTAAGTGACACTCCAGGTAGACCAGGGTGGGTCTATTTACAGATCGGTTCAACGATTACAGATGGCATTTCTACGTGTGTGCTGTAAAACCAATATTTAATCTCCAAGAAGCAAATCAATACATGCAGAAAGAGAGCTTTGTTGGGCGCTGTAATTGAACTATGTAACCCTGGAGCTGCATAGTCCATGATTGAATGAATCTGTGAGTAAATATTTGCTAAATGCCTCCTGAGCACTGCTTTTGGTCAGGTCGAGGAAATAGCGAGAACTGGAAAATGGCAGGGCTGTCTCAGGAACAAGGAAGGGAGTCAGACAGAGCACAGACTAACCACAGATGTCCACAGGAGGTCCTGCTCTGGTCCCCGGAGTAAAGGGGTTTGTGTGTTTGCTACTGGACTGCTGGGATCTATACAGTGAAAACAGCCGAATTGTGTCTTTCTGCCTCCCAGTCTCCTGCCCTAGAAATTATGGATCAGGCCATACTCTTAAGCAAGTTTAGGCCATTCCTTCCTTTCTACAAACATTTGCCACGATTCACACTGTGTGTGGCAAACAGCAGGTAAAATGAGCATGGATCTGGCTATCAAGACACTGGGTATGTGTGTATGAGACAGACAATGGGCAAAATCGGGAGACTGGACTGTCTGATAGGGACAGCTCAGATCTTAAGGGACATCTAAGCATGGCTATTTACATACACAACTTTCTCTCTCTCCCTCCACCACCCCCTCCGTGTGTGTGCGCATGCACACACACGTGCGCATGCGTGCTTGCATGAGTGTGTGCATGTGTGCATGCATGTGTGTGTGCGCGCTAAAATTTCAACTTGGATGACCCTGCTTTCTCATCTGCCCAGTCAAGGTATGTGGGCACTTAGAGATGACATGGAAATTAATCAGCAGCATTATGTCTGGCCTAGAGTAGGTGCTCAGAAAGTCAAGCCAGAAATCTCACGGTAAGGATGAATGGTCTAGCCTTAGACACTTCCCCATGAACCTTACAGTCTGTCTTCCTCTAGGAGACAGTCTGTGCCCTCTGGTCCTCTCTCAGCCTCCTGTCACATTGACACACCTGCAAGCACATCAATTTAGTTTCACTCTGATGGGCAGCTCCAGCAAAAGATCAGGAGCCTAGTTTGGGATTTATGACAACAGGTAGAACAGAACAGAGAAGTAGAAGGATATTACATCCAAATTGGGAGTGGTCTGTGCAGTGGTCTGTGCCTTGGACACCAAGAAGCCAAAACTGGAGACATCTGCACACTCTTACTCCAGGGTGAGTTTTCACTGGTGATGAGTTTGACTCAAGAATCCAGGAACCCTGTTGATGACAGTGTCCTTTGAAAGCCAGGCTTAGCTGGTATGTCTTTGTGTGCCTGTACTTACCATCTAATGTAACTTTCAGGTCCCTAGAAACTAACTGGGTTTTTTTGTTTGGTTTTATTTTGAAACAGCCTCTTATTATATAGACCAGGCCAACCTCAAAATCCTGGCAATCCTCCTGCCTCAGACACTATACCTGGCTTGATGGCTAATTGTGCAAGAGCTCAAGAAGTCCAATCCAAGCAATACCAAATACCCAATGTGTGTCTGTTAATATACCAGACACAGAAAAGAACAGAAAAATTATTCACTCAAAAGTAACTTTTATGTTTGGGGAGCTAGCCTCTTGATGCAGCCCGTGCCATGCAAGTGTGAGGATCTGAGCTGAGCCCCACATAAAAATCTGGGCACATCATGGTGGGGTGCTTGGAATCAAAGTGGTGGGGAGGCAGAGACAGAAGAACCACTGTGGCTTGCTGGACAGTCAGCCTAGCCTACCCTGCAGGCTCGAGGCCAAAGAGAGACCCTGTCTAAAAAAATAAAAAGGAACAAGAACAAAACAAGGTCGCCGGAGGTCATTCTCAGATGAGCACACACCATCTCTACTCTCACAGAGTTCACTATCCACTTGAGGAGAGAAACATAAGCAATGTCTATGACATGGGATATAATAGACTAGAGAACCCAAACTAGAGGAGTCACTGAGTGCGGGTCCATCAGCGAAGGATTGCTAGTGGAAGGATGCTTGGACTAAAGGATGCACAGAAAATAGAGGGGAATAGAAAGAGAACTTTCCAAGGAAAGTGTGATATTGTACTGGAGAAACAGTACACCCCTGGGAACATCTAAGTAGTGGAACACAGGTGAGAACAGGAGAACAAAGTGACGTACAGCCGGACAGGGCCAGGGCACACTAAAATACCCAGAATCCAATTCTGAGGTTCTTACAGGAAGTGGACTTTCAGCTGCTTCTGTTCTAGAAGGTGAACCTGATTGCGGTGTGGAGAAGGGCCCCCCGGGGCAGGGAGGTAAGTGTGGGCCTCAAGGATGAACCAAAGACTACCAGATGGGAAGGGGGAGCATGCCTAATCGCTGAAAGGGCGGCAGAATGGACGGTGCCTGGAGAGCCACTGGACGTGAGAGCTGTGAGGGAGGTGGGAATCCAGATAAGCCCCAGGGTTGGGACTGGGGGAAGGGGGAGAATGGTGTTTCTGCCCCAGGCTTGGGAACTCATGAGGAAGTGACTTGGGGTGACTTGATGAGTCCAGTGCTTTATAGGCTGTGTCTGAGACACCCATGGGGCATGTGAGTTCAAGTTCCCAGTCAACAGCAGGAAGGAGAAGGTAGAGATGGAAGCACCAGGCTGTCTGCTGGCAGCAGCTGAGGCTCCGTGAACAGCAAGTGAAACCAACTGAGGAATTAGCCAAACTGGGGCCATGTGGGCTGAGGTAGCACCAGAGAGAGGAGAAGGTTGAGAACATGGGATTATAGGTTCCCAGAGCGGAGCTGGGGCATGTAGCCAGACTCCCTTGTGTCTCGCAGCCTGTCAACCATTCACAATTGTCAGAGAGGGCCTCACTCTGTCCACAGACTGCCTCCTTTCTATCCTGAAACCTGCGCACGTACTTATAATGCAAGCACATACTTGCAGATCCTTTTCAAACCAAAAATGCACACAAGTCTTGAGTTCTGTTAATTACAGGTCTCCACACCATCTGCCTAGGAAAGTGTCTCCGTCCTCTGCTCGTCCTATCTTTACCACAACACATTTGTCAGCTCCCCGAACAATTCCTCTCTCGTCTCTAACAGTTCCTCTCCCGTCTCCTCTCATGCAGTTAGTCATGTCCCAAATTCTATCTTTTCATTCCTGGAAGTTGTTTTCCCAATTCCTCTTCTTTTGTTGTCCACTAACAATGGTGACAGCAATGTCAACAACAGCAACAAAATCCTGCACAAGCCGACGGCTGCAGTTTCAAGCTTGCCACCTCCTCTCTTGGTCCAACTAGACAAGGGACTTCAGGGTCTCAACCTTCAGGAATTAAAAAGTCTTGGATCTCCTCCTGTCTGACACCTTGATCTTCCTGGCCAGGTGTAACATAATGACTAGAAACCCAAACCTGTCAATCATAGCATCTCTCCATTTCCCAGCTTCAGCCTCTACACCTGCAAGGTGTGATAATTCCAAAACTGGCTTTGGAGAGCATTAAGCACTTAATGTGTTTGACATAAACGCTGCCACGGAGTAAGCAGTCATTAAATAATAACATTTATCGCCGTAATCATACTTGCATCACTCCTGCAAAGTGACCCCCACCCCCCCACACACACACCAAATACAGAGTAACTTTCAAACAGCGTAATGGTTATCACATGCACTCCTTCTGGGAGTAGGGATACCCTAATGTGCATCTCTCGGGCTGTGCCGGAGAGCCATGCCGACGATGGCAGCACAGTTCGAGGCTGTCAGATGTTCCTGCAGCAGGTGTCACTAGAGGAATGTCACTGGGAGCAGCTGGAAAGGCAGTAGATAGCAGAGGCCAAAATGGAGCGAGAGATGGTGAGGCACAGAACACCAGACAGAAGGCCTTTATGTGGCACTTTCTCACACATCCCACAGACAAACTTTACTTATATTTAAATTGGCCAAAACGGCCTCTTTCCTCATGCTTTGTATTTTAACCATCAAAGCCTGGGTTTCACATCCAAGCCCTCCTTTCTGGGGAGCCCGGGGAGATGGCTCATTTGCTAAAGGGCTTGCAATGCAAACGTTAGGACCTGAGTTTGAATCCCAAGCACCCATATAAAAACGTAGGCATGGGCACATGCATCTGTAATCCTAGCAGGGGAGGCAAACAGAAGGATCCTGGGTGCTTGCTAGCCAGCCAGTATAGCCAATTGTTGAGCTCCAGGTTCAGTGAAAAAGACATTCACGCACAAATATGCACATACGTACACACATGTGAATAAAAATTATAATTTGTTTTAGGAGCTGGGGAGATATCTAAGCAGCTGAGAGTCGTTGCTTTTCTTCTAGAGGACCCACTTGAGTGGCTCACAACCACCTCCAACTCCAGCTCCAGGGGAACAATATCATCTTTTAGCTTCCGTGGGCACCTGTACACATGTGGTGCTTCACATAGGGACACATGCATACACAGAAAATGAAAAAATCAAAACATAAATATAAAAGAATTATTTTAAAGGCTGATAGTTATATCCATGCCCTTCACTTATGAATTTAAATGTTATTTAAAGTGTGAGCAACTAAGCTGGGCAGGGTGGTTCATGCCCATAATCCTAACTTCCAGGAGGCTCAGGCAGGGGTATTGAGAGTTGGAGGCTAGCCTGGGTTACATAGTGAAACCTTATCTTGAAAGAAGAAAGAAGGAGGAGGAGGAGGAGGAGGAGGAGGAGGAGGAGGAGGAGGAGGAGAAGAAGAAGAAGAAGAAGAAGAAGAAGAAGAAGAAGAAGAAGAAGAGCAGAGGCTGGAGAGATGGCTCAGCAGATAAGAAGAGTGGCTGCTCGTCCAGAGGATCTGTGCTTGGTTCACAGCACCCCATAGGGTGGTTCACAACTCTCTATATCTCCAGCTCCAGGGGATCCAGTGTCTTTGGCCTCTGCAGAGTCCATGAGTACATACCCACAAGCAGATACACACACCTACACATGATTTAAAGCTATAGAGATAAGTCTTGCTTTAAATCAGGGGCAAAAGAAGCAAACCAAATGTTATGATGTATTGGTATTGGCAGCAGAATAAAGTATCACTTTTTACTGAAGAGAACACACTGAAGTGTGCCAGCTATCGGTGTTTCCACAGCTCTGTCCTCATTCTTTGGTGGTCTTGGATGCTCCCAAATCCCCTCCCCCTTCACAGTTAAGAGAGTGAGAAGAAAAGTTCACATTTACTTCAACGTTACCTCTGTGAAGCGGCTCGAGGAGGCACCCTGGGGGGCCTCTCCAGGGTCATGACTGGTGTTCCAGTCACCACCGGTGCTCCATCCACTTGGGTAGGACCTGGGCTACGACTTCGAGTTATTTCAGGGACTTCATTATCCTATAGCATGCAAGATGAGAAACAAAGGTGACTATTACACAAGACGCATGAACATACATAGCTGGACACCATGAGATAGCCCTCACCATTATTAGGCTGTTCCCAAACCAGGAGCCAGCCTAGTGCCAATGGCAGTTTTCCACACCCTTCTGGTGTAGTCTAGGAACACAGTTTTACCCAGGTTATCACGAATTGCCTAAACTCAAAATCCTTGCTTCTCCAAATATAAGAGCTGTCTCATACTCGGTCTGCTAAAACCACCTGCAAGTTTACAGAAGGGCTCTCCCTCAGACCCATTCCCCTGAGTCTTCAGGGTGAGTGGTGACTCACACGACCCTTTGGGTTCAAACCAGGTCAGGACAGACACTGACACCAATGGACTAAGTAGAAATGTGGCCTCCCCCTAGAGCAGCTGAGAAGATGCCTGACTGTCTGGAGACCATGCCACCACCCATGTGGAAATGCAGGATAGGCCGGGGTACAGAGAGAGGGATGAAATCAGAGACAGATACCCTGGACTCTGAGACATAAAAGACTATCCCATGGCTCCATACAGCACGACACAGGCTCCTGATCTAGGCCCAGCACGGTGCTGCCCCTGGAACCCTCAGCTCTCACACAACCCCTTCCTGCAGACACCCACTCCTGTCTAAAGTAGTCTGGGTACATTTGTCTATCTCCATCTATGCTCCCCTTTCCCCTTTTCTTCCTTTATACTGAGGCAAAATTCATATAGCCACGAGGTCAACCATTACGAAACAAAATGGCTTTGGCACATTTGTAGCTTTACGGAGCCACCACCTTCTATCTAATTTCAAACCATTTTCCTCACCTGCAAAGAAAACCCCAAAGTCATCAAACAGTTCTTCCTATGCCCCTCACCCTCCAGTTCTACCAGCCACCAAGCCTCACGCCGTCTCTCTGAATCCACCCATTCTGCATTATTTCATATAAACGGCATCCACAACGTGTGACCTTTTATGTGTGGCTTCCTTCCCCGTGGGTGCTTTCTCTTGTGATAAAACGACCCCTGAGACCGGATGGGTAGCGTGGAAGTCCTGACTCTCACCTCATTGTCGCCCTCCATACCGCTGCTCACGCTGAGGAGACTCCGTGTGCTTGATCGGTTACTCGCGCTGCCTAAAGGGCAGAAACAACATCAGCTGGACTGTGGATTCTCCCAGGAGAAAACGAAAGGCGGAACTCTGGCCCTACGCTATTTATAGCAATAGAAACAGTACATAAACCGCGAAGACAAGAGTCTTCAAAGTGTAGTCACCTTAAGCCATTTCATTAGAGTTCAGTTTTTCTGTCAGCATCACGCAAAATGGTTTGCTTTCTGATGGCCACTTTGGGCTTAATAGCTACCATTTACCCAGGATTTACTGCACACGGAGTGCTTTCGAAAGCATGATTGCCATTTAATCCCTTTGAAAATCCTGTTTGATATTAGAGCTTTGATCTGACAGGCATGGAAGCAGAGGCACCCAGGGTCTCAGTTGCTCTAAATCTGCAAGGTGGTTTTGTTACCATGGTCTTGCTGCGTAATTAGGAATTACAGGGCAGGGGTGTATGTGGGACACAGATGCACCTTCGAATAAGAGATTACATGCCAACACCAAACAAAAGCCATAGCTGTGGATGTACAAGGTCCTGGGTCCAATCCCCAGAACTACAAAAACAGAAATACACAGTAAAAATTCAAACGTATAATGCATTCTCATAGTAGGAATTCTGAGTGAAAAGCTTTTCGGTTAGGACTTTATTACCTGTATCATTAAAATAGCACTAGTCCATAGGACTTTCTAGAAATGTGTGTTATCCAATGTCATAGCTAGTGTGAAATCAGGTAGAACTAAGAAGATAAATTTTAAAATTTGTGTCTTGAGGTAAAAATCTCATTACCTAGCCCATGGCTGGTCTGGAGTTTGCTATGTATGTAGACCAGGTTGGCCCTGAATTTATGGCCATCCTCCTGCTTCAGTTTCCCAAATGCTGAGCTTACAAGTGTGTGTGATTGGAGGCAGACTTATTTTAAATATTTATTTTTACTTTATGAGTGTGTTTGTCTGCTTGCATGTCTGTGTACCATGTGCACACCTGGTGTTCACAGAGGCCAGAAGAGGGTGTCAGGTCCCCTGAAAATGAAGTTAGAGATGGTTGTGAACTGTCACATGGGTACTAGGAACTGAGCCTGGGTCCTCTACAGGAGAACTGAGTGCTATTAATTGAAGAACCATCTTTCTTGCCCCAGATTGGAAAACATTTTAGATTAGATTTATTCATTTTACTTTATGTGTGTTTTGTCTGCATTATATGTACATGCCACATGTGTGCCTGGTGCTCTCAAGGTCAGAAGAGGGTGGAACTGGAGTTATGGATGACTAGGAACCACCATGCAGGTGCTGGGAATTGAACCCTGGTCCTCAGGAAGAGCATCAAGTGCTCAACACTACTGAGCCACCTCTCCAGCCCTCAAGGCAGATTTTTAAATTTGGCAAGATATTTCTCTAACCCAGGGGATTTGGTTTGTTCACTAGGAAAACACGGCCCAGCCTCTCTCTATTCGACTTACACTCGTAACCCAATTTACCTACCAAAATGTCATTTCTTTCCTCTCATTCAGCTAACTGCTGCCCCAAGGCTCAAACCTCCTCAGAACTCATGCTTGGAATAAGCGCTACCAAAACTCTCCAGATTTCCCAACCAAAAGCAATCTCTGAGCTCCTGGGTCACCACGCCTGTGCCTAGGTGCCCACATGTCATTGATTATGTCTCTCACAGTCTCCACAGCGAACCCCACAGTGCCCTGCACGTTCACGATCAGCAAGAAGTAAAAGATGTCACAGACACTGGCTCTATGACTGGGAATTCACACCCATCAACTCCCACTACCCTTGGCATTCCTAAACCTGTAACCACAATGTTTAGCCCTAAAACCTTAGCCCCCTGATATTATTTCCCCTCCGGGTTCATGACTGACCCATAGTTCCCTGGGCTACACAGTTGGTAGCATTCTCTGGTGTTGGCCCCATACTCTGCTCTCAGTGCCACATCTCGGTCATCAGGGAAGAAGATTCAGACTAGTATCTACCTCGTGCTAGTTTAGGGCTTTCCTCTATTACAAGTCCATAAAGATACAATCTGGTTCTTTTCATCTTTCTGACTCCAGTGAATGCACAAGTAGGAGGGAGAAAATGACCATACAACCCTTGGGCCAGATAATCTACAAGAACACTGTTGAGTGTTCCACAATCCAGCTTTTGTTCTCTTAAATATAGCACTAATTACTGGGGCTTAATTACTTAGTTATAACCAGGTTTAACCTGTAACTGTCTTTCTGTGGATCCCAAGAGATGACAGCTATGCCATCATAAAAATAATGATGCTCACAGGGTGTGACTCCAGGGTAAAGGGCGCTGAGCCTGGCTTTCCCCACTCTCCCTCCCTGCCAAGGAACTAGCTCTATTGGAAGGTGCTGCTCCCTGGGTAATAGCATGGTTAGATCTGGATATAATTTCTGAACCCTCTGCTCAGTTGCCAGAAGACTCAAGGCATGTTTGCTAGACCCTAACTGTTACCTAGAAACTACAAGCCTTACTGACTGTCTTAGATGAATGAGGTCACACAGGGATATACTTATCATGGGGCTGGCAAAGAGCAACTGTCTGATAGAAGTTGGCGTCCTCGTCATCTTTAGTTTGAAGGCAGTATACTAGTCTACTATATACTAGCTGTGACAGCCCCATACAGTGACATCACCCCCACCAGTGCTCACGCCTCTGTGTGCACTCCAGACTCAGCCATCCGACTTGCTTTAGAATAAACATTAGCACATATGACAAACCCCAAAGCTCTCAAAGGCTCTTGCACAATCGTCTTGTCCTCCCTTCCCAAATTTCCTTGCCATGTAAAAGGCTCAGGCTGTTCAGTTAAAGGCCACGTGGAGGAAGGTCTCGGAGAACACGAGGCCATCCTGGATGCCCCAGCTGAGCGCGGTCATCTGAGTGACCCTTGCTCACTGATCATGGGGAAGACACAAGCCACACCTTCTAGTTGTGCCCAGGTTGGGGGATTGGGTGTAAATAAATGCGTGTATTCTGTGCAAATAAGTTTTGTCATGGTTTGCTACATAGCAGAAACTGGAGCGGGAACCAGCCCTGATCTGCAGCCACAAGGAAGAGCGTAAGGCCTTGGTCTGGCATTAAAAAGCATTTCCTAGTCCCATGAGCTAGCCGTTTCTGGGCAACAACTTACTTGGTCCACCTGGTCCTCACTGTAGGGTACCCCAAAGTAAAATACACAGAAAACACTTTCCAATCACAACACTTCACACCAGGTAACCCCCCCTCAAAAAACCCCAAAAAACCAAGAAATAAAACGAGCACTTTATATTGGTCTTTACGACTTCCCAACTATGGTTCCCTTTCCTATGGGAAGCAGAGGCACTCCCCCCTCCCAGAGAAGGTTCTGGTGCATCCCTCCTCATTCATGTGCTGGAGAAAAGTGCCACTTGCCTCTAGTTTCTTCTGCAGCCTGTGAGCTCTGGGGAGCTCTCTCCTGCCTCTGATAGCAGAATTCTCAGAATTCTCAAGTTGCCTTTGGCAGAGGCAATCTTTGGGTATACGTTACTGCCCCCATTATGTGTGGGGAAATTTTCTTCTTGTTCAGCCTACATTCCCAAGTTGTCACATGATAAGCGTTGCATGTGCTTCCGCAGGTCACGGTGTGAGGACTATTAAAGGAAGAGCACAAGCTGACTTCTACTGTCACCTGGATGTTTAACCTTAAGCAAAAGAATTCCCTAAAATCCATACAGTAAGGAGTCTTGCTTGACCTGTGTCCCTGGTGAGCAAAATCGTGCATGTGTGCATGCGTAATAAGTATTTGTGGATATGTGTGCATGTGTGATTTGTATGTGGAGGGGTACAGACAGATAAGTTTTTCTGGGAAACAGATCCAGAATACACAGTAAATTCTCAAGGAGGCTGTAATGTAAAAAAGACCAGAAGAGGTTTGGGTAGTCCGTTATCCTGCAGTCATCGGTGGATGCTCTGCCTGACTTCCAAGGAGACCCAAGTCGTGAAGTATACTTCTGCCTCTCTCATCATCTTTGCAGTTGTTTGGATACAGTGAAGCCAACATGTCAGCAAATGCTGCCCAAGATGCTGAAACAGTGTCCCCAGCCGGCAGCCCACACACCAGGCCGCGCCTGCCACAATCAGACTCCCATTCACGCTTCTTCACCAAAACAAAGATGTGTCCTAATTAGATCCTAAACCACCCGCGCAGAAGTTGGACTTCTCAAATTTGAGTCTATCGTTGTCCGCAGCGCTGATGAGATGCCCTTAGCTGCCCCTTAGCACAGCTGGGAAAGAAGCAGGAGCCTCAGTGAAGAGCCCTGGCTTGGCTCCAGACTGAGTTCAAACCCCAGCCCTGCTCAGCTTTATTAGCTACAACCTGGGACAAGGCACTAAGCCTGAACACTTCCTCCTTGGCAAGAAGAAGCCATGAATCTACATCATAGAGGGTTTGTGGTCATTAAATGATCAATGAAGACAATTTACTTTCGGTAAATGCCCAATCAATGTTAAGAATTATTATAAAGCAAGAGAGAAAAGCGGAAAATGAAGGGATGTGTGAAGCAGTGTGGGGCTGCACCTCCCCACCTGTGCAGACCATCACTAGGTTCAGCTATTTATAGAAAGAAAGTACTCTAAGAATTATCACACCATTAGGCAAATGCCACGGGACAACTAGTCTCCACACTCCACACCTCTCAAAACCAAATCAGGTCTCCGTTGAGATCTTTAATCCCAGCAATCAGGAGGCAGAGGCAGGAGGATCTCTGTGAGTTCAAGGCCAGCCTGGTCTACAGAGGGAGTTCCAGGACAGCCAGGGCTACACAGAGAAATCCTGTCTTGAAAGACCAAAACCAAGCAACCAAGCAAACAAAGCGTGTTTGCCAGAGCCTGCCGAGCGGGTGAACTGGCAGGCGGTACCGAGGCGCCTCTGGCACGCGGCTTACTTGCTGTGCTCGACGTGCTGTCGGTTTTCCAGTCTCCACGTCTCAGCTCCGTCCTTGGGGGAAACACGCTCTTCCTGGGGCCGCTCTCATACACTCCGAACTCCACTTTTCCGGGCAGGTGCTGCGAATGCCGGATTGGGACTGTGATCTCCAGCTCTGAAATCAGAAGGAAGAAGGAGCTTCAGGCAGGCTGCCACTGCTAAATGTCTCTCATGGCCACCTGTCTCCTGGGCCTGGAGGAGGGTACACGAAAGACCCTGGAGTCTTGTCCCACGTCAGTACTGAAAAGCCACAGAATCCAGCGTGGCCCAGAAGAAGGAAAGGATGGCAGAGCGTGAGAAACAGGCAGAAGAGCTCTTCCACCTCTGAGAGTAAAAAGAGGAGACACTTGGGAAAGGCTTGGGCTCCTAGCCCCACCATTTAGGGGTATGCAGCCAACCTCTCTGAACTAGTGCCCTGTCTAAGGAGGGGATCACAAACTCCACTGATGGCGGTAAGTCACCCTGTGCACCAGCTCAAAGAGTTCCCACAGTCTTAGTCGACTGAATCCTCATAAAACCTGAGAACTTAGCACCACTGAAATGAAAGCACAGAGAGGGAAGCTGCACCCCCAGCACCCGGATGGAAGGACCAAACTGAGATGTGAACCCTGGCTCTGGAGTCCGGGCTCTTCCCCGCTCCTAGGGTCAATGGCCTCTTGCTCCCTGAATTTGTTATGGATGACAGGTGAGAGGGTATGGGACGGCCAGCCTACCCTGACAACAGTGGTCCAAGGAGGTGGGACCAAAGTCCTCCATGCAGAGAAAGACTGACTTCTGAGACTGACTCAAGGTGAAAGCACAGTCCGTACCCAGCTCAGGGCCGACCCGACCTCAAGGCTGGGCTCTGCCACTGGTTTGTCTTTAACCCTGCTGAGATTTCTACCCCACGGTCCTGGGAGCATAAATAACTCATGCCAGTGAGCAGCATGAAATGCCTGGAGCTTCCGCCCCAGGGGGTGTGAGGTGGGGTTGGTGGGAAGCCACGGGAGCCGGGAGCCAGGTACACAGAGGAACACGTGCTCTCCTCCAGGTACCGCTTCAGGTCACCACTCTGTTCTTCCGTGGGACAAATATGTCGGAAATTCCAAGGTGACTCCTCGTGCCAAAGGCAGAGACCCGCCCAGAAAGCTAAGGAATAAGCTAGAACTGTATGAAGGGCAGTGTGAGGGAAGATGGACGGGACTCAGTGAGAACACCTTAAATGTGGACTGCTGGTCTCCCCAGGCTCCCAGTCTTTCTCATGCTAGAGAAACTGGATCCAGGGATCTAGTAACAGCCTGCTCCTTCGTGGAACGGGGAGGATTTCCAGTCCCATCCTCCCTGGTTACACCGCAAAGGAAGCCCTTCCTGTGCTCATGGCCCTGGGCGCCGAGCATTGCCAAGGCCTGTGTTCATGGGGTGAACCCTGAGTCTCGGAGCCCGCGTAGATATATCATCCTTTTCTTTCCTTCTCAGCTTTTATTTACAGGAAAAAAAATCACTTTAAGACTTCTTAAGGTTTCCAGTCTGACTAATTAACTTTAAGGTGGTAATTTTCCCACCCCCACCATTCTGTAAAGAAGGAAAGTAAAGCACACAGGAAGAAAAAAAAAAATCAGAGATCAAAGGTTCAAAAACTCAGGCCAGGCTAGAAGTTTTTAGAACACCTGCACTCTTTGCTTGAAGGCACAAAGTCAGGAAGAATCTTCACAATTATTGCTAGCTTTCTGAAGCACATTCGCCTGCGTTATTACTTCCTTTGTGTATTGGGACTTTTCCGTTCAGTAGGCGATTATAATCCTGTGAGGAAACTGAGTCACACTGGGTAAAGGAATGGCCCCACATACAGAAGCGATTCAGCAATGGCACAAGGAGCAGAACCCAGGTTCCTGGGCCTCAGCTGGCTCTGCCTCCCGGGACACACCCAGATCACAAATATTGACTGTTTTCCTGCGGGGCCACAGCATCCGACAAGCTGCGTGTTTAGAGCCGATTTCCTGTGCCATCAACTCCATATGCTACAAAGAGCAGAGCTGCTCCCTGGGGCTGAAGACTAGGAATGCAGGGTCTGTTTTCAAGGATCCTTGGTCTTTGGTGTTCCAACCCCAATTAAAGAAAAACGATAGCTATTTTCTAAAGGAACTGGAGTTTCCAAATTTGAGTTACATTCTTAGAAAAGGTCTCGCAGGCGGAAGTGCCACTCATCCGCCTAGAACTAGTTACAACCTGTACTGGAGTTAATAATGGTGAGCTATCAGGCAGGTTCTGGAAGCCACCTGGTCCCATGCAAGAACAGCAAGTGTTCTTGACCCTTGCTCCACCTCTCCAGCCCTGCTATTTATATTCTATCGCAATAAAAATTAAAAGCAAGGATACGCTTGGACAGATAGGTCATACATCCTCCTCAATGGGATTTCCTGCCACCCTGAGCCGTTCCTCCCATCTGTTTGAGTTGAACCTAGAATGTCCCCTAAAGTTCCTCGTGCTAAGGGACTGGTCCCACAATGGTCCCACTGTGAGGTGGTGAAAGCTTTCAAAGGTAGAGCCAAGGAGAGGTCTTTAGATTATTGGAGAACCCCCTTGAAGGGGAAATGAGACCCAGCCTTATACCTTTCCTGTTTCTTTTCCCAGCTGGGAGACAATTTTGTTTGGGCATGCTCTTCCTGCTGGGATGTACAACCTCCTCCCAGTCCACAAAATAACAGGGCAACCAATCATAGACTCAAAACTATAGAACAGTAAGCCAAAATAAACCTGTTTTTCTTTTCTTTAAAAAAAATAGATTTTTGCTGAGCAGTGGTGGTACATGCTTTTGGGGGACAGAGGCAGGCAGATCTCTGAATTTAAGACTAGCCTGGTCTACAGAGAGAGTTCTAGGACAGCCAGGGCTACATAGAGAAAGCCTGTCTCAAAAGCCTTTTTTTTTTATTTATGAGGGGCAGAGGGTGGATGTATGTGCCATGCCATGTCAGTGAAGTTAAGATGGCAACCCGAGAGAATTAGTTCTCTCCTCCTGTTATGTGAGTCCTGAGGATCAAACTTAGGTCACCAGACTTAGCAATAAGGGCCTTTTTAGCCACTGAGCCATCTCAATGGCTCTAGGCCTTTTTTATTTATAACTTGATATCTCAGTTACAATAAAGGAACACAGTTTCTAAAGATAACATGGCTTAATCCTTTCATAGTAATGGCACTAATTATAGTCACTGACAGAGAAATAGTGAAAATCATTACCCCTCCCCAAACAAAACTCCATGTCAGACGATCCGGAAAGGGGGAATCCGGCCATGCTTCTTCACACATGGATCATTCTGACTTAGACTATAAGTAGGTAGTGGGCAGAACCCATTATTTAGAAGCCTAATTGGCCTTGGGTGAACTTTATGGGGCCCTGGAATGTAGCCCAGGCTGGTCTAGAACTTGTGATCTTCCTGATTAAACCTTCCAAGTGCTGGGATTACAGGTGTGTGCCACTGTGCTCAGACTGAACTCGGGAAAACATTTAAAAACTTATGACCTTTGGGCTGGACAAGTCCCAGCCCAGAGCACTTACTCTGGAGGGCTTTGTTCCAGAGGACATGGGTCCTTATGTGCGGCCTCTGTGGACTCCCAGCCTGTGCTAGGCACAGACTGCACCCATACTTCTTGCCCACTGCAACACCCCTGTTAACTTCCCACCTTACAGGCTAAAACTATGGCTCAGGGAGGAAGAATATCTTGCCCGTAGTCTCAAAGCACTATGTAGAATCCCAATTCCAACCTTGTTCACCCCAAGGCCATGTCTCTGCCCCTCTGCCCCTCTGCTCCTCAGTGTGGGTGGGTATTGACCGGGCCTCCAATCCCCAGTGACATTAGATGGAGCCCGGGGGAAGAAAGCTATAAGGAGACCCAGAAGTCTCAGTTCTTGAGCCAGACCACTGACCCCTGAGCGCATGTGAGTCCCACCGCTGTACCCTCCCGGCCTTTGGAGACTGGGGCCACTGACCAATCGCAGGCCAATATGGCTTGTGTTTAAAAGCTTAACGAGTTTCACTTCGTCGGTGCGTCCGTCTTTCACGCACATGCTCTGCTTCTCAGAAGCACTTCAATCCTTTGCCACCTAGAGTCCTATTTTCTGAGCCCGGGCGACTGCAGATCCCGAGCCTGACTTTCCACCGTGTCAGCTCTCTTCTCCTCTGCACTAGGAGGGCAGGCGTGAGCCTGGGTGGAGGTGGGGGATACATTGAAAATCCAGAGGCTCGAAAAGAAGTGCTCAGATGAGCTCCCTGACCCCTCTTTCTGACATGGTCAAAATCGTGAATATTCTCTAAGTGTTTTTCTTTAGAAAAAAAAAAAACTGTGCTAGGCATCATGGGAAAACCACGCCTGCATAAATAAAAAGACGGCTAGCTCATAAACTAGTCGATCGCACACGGTAGATCGCGGGTTTCTTCTCGAGCTGGGTGCTGAATCCTGGTGACTGTGTGGAATGGCTGCTGTCAGCAGACGTTTGACTGAAGCCTCTCATGCCAGCACAGACGTCCTGAGCTCCCTCAGGACTGTGCTGCAGACTGACATGCGTGTTCCTGCCATCGGGGAGCTATGGTAAGAGTGGGGATAGATGCTGGTCCAGGACCAGAACAGAAGACTAAGGAAATCTCCGTCCACGCTACAGGGGCAGAGGGAAAACGAAAAAGCAAAAAGCAAGGTGTAGAGGTTCACCTGAAAAAATGGCAGAGAAGCTTCTTTGTTGGATGAAAGGAGGCAGCAATCAGAGACGGGGAGGACAGCAGCAAGCATTAGGTACAAAGGCCTAGGGAAGACCTGTGCTTGCCTGTTAGAGCAACACGAGGGGTTATTAATGCTCAGGCCGAGGCTGGGGGAGGGTCTGGAGCTTATGGAGAAAGAGTTCAGAGGTCACATAATAGGGGGCCTTGGAGGCCACAACAGAGAGTCTGCTTTTCCTCTAAGTGAGACAGGAACCCCTGGAGTGCTAGAACAGAGGTGGGGGCATCTCTGATATTTTATTTTTGGCATTGTTACTACTATTTTAAATTATGTGTCTTTGTGAGGGTAATGTGTACATGAGTGCAGTTCCCCATAGCGGCCAGAAGAGGGCAACAGATCCCTTGGAGGTGGAGTGACAGGTGGTTGTGAACCACTCAATATGGATGCTAGAGACCAAACTTAGGTCTTCTAAAAAAGCAATACAAACTTAACCACTGGTCCATTCTTCTAGCCCTTAGTGATTTGTTGTTTTTTTTTTAAAAAAAGGATAATTATTTAGTATTTTGTGATAGGGTGTCATTGTATAGACAAACTGGTTTCAAACTCACAGAGATCTATCTGTCTCCATTCCATAAAACACCAGGATTAAAGTTTTTTTTGCCATTGTGCCCAGACATATGATCCTCTATTTATAGAAGGCACTGGCTCTAGGTGGGAGGATGTACTGTACCAGGTGAGCGTGGACAAGGGTGGAGACAAGTGGAGAAGCTACTGCACCCGCTCCACCAAGAGAGAGCGGTGACTTGGTTACAGCCATGGCATAGGGAAAATTGCCAAATTTAGGCTGCACCTTGGAGCCAGAATCCTAGGAATGAAGAAATAAAGTAACAGCAATTAGGACAGTAAAGAGACATACCAGGGACAACAGGCTCTCCAGATGTCCTGAGTGAGAACACAATGCAAAGGCCTACAGTGGCCCAGAGCCTTCTAGGAGAAGGAGCTGCTGGGAGGAGACCCCCAGTCCAGTTATGAGAACGCAGGTGCAGAGGAAGAGGCCCGAGCGAGAAAAACTGTAGGGAAAATGTGCAGCCTCATGAGAAGCCAACTGACGACAGCTAACACACAAGTAGGGCTGATTTTGCTTAGTTCTGCTCATAAGGGGCTCCTACAGGAACCTCTTCTTCCCTGCTCCTCTTGCCAGAAGATTGGCTAGAGTAGAGCACAGAGGCCCAACCTGCAGAAGGCAGGTCCTTGCTCAGGATGCTTGGTGTCACATGGCTGGTGTCATGGGGTTTAGAAGGGGACAGAAGAGCCCATCCATAGCACACGCAATAGGCACGCATGCCCTATCATTGCATGTTGTCCTTAGCCGCTCATGGTAGAGGTTGCCCACTCTCAGGGGAGTGTGGTTTCTCTCTCTGTTGGCTCCTATGCTTTCCTAATTGCCAAGGTTGGAGCCAATGTAGAAACGATGACCATCTTCTCTGGGTGGAAGGGGACTCTAACCATCCATTCCCTCCTGGGCAAGCAGTCTGTCCACTCGGGCCACAGAAGAAGCGATAGTCAAGGGCGGCAGCAATGCCCACCCCCAGTGACACAGCGCACTGGGAACCCCCAGTGATGCAGCACTGGGAAGCCACCTACCTGAATGCTTTCCCAATTTTTGCTTCTCTCTCTGTCTTCGGGTGATGCTGTCTCTTAGTCTTTTAAGATTTTCCTGGAAAATAGTTTATTTGTTGTTTAAGTATCCAGCAGAGTGGTGCCTTTTGAACATTAGAATTCCATTCTTATGTCCTATGCAGGGGCTAGCACGCTACAGTCACATTTCAAGATTGCCCCCAGAGAAACTCAAGCCTTTCTGCCTGTAATGTGCCATTTTCCCTCTGGTAGAGAGCGCTTTCAGAGGCCCAGCCCCATTCTCAGCCTTAGCGTGCACCGCCCTCCTTCACCTACACCTCACAGCCAACCCACCCAACATGCTCACAGACTTGAACTCATCCCCACCTCTGACTGCGCTCTCTCCTCGGTCTTTGAGGGGCCCTAATTTCTATAACTCTGTCCCACTCATGGGCCAAGGCTTCCCAGGTGGCCCCGGGCCCTAGTCCTGTCCATATCAGTCAGGTGGCACCTGTGAAATTGTTTATTTTGTCATAGAAATCCTCAAACCAGCTAGGCATAGTGGTGCATGCTTGTAATCCCAGCATTTGAGAAGCAGAGGCAGGTGGAGGTCTATAAGTTTGAGACCAGCCTGGTCTACATAGGGAGTTCCAAGTCAGCCAAGACTATATAGTGAAACCTTGTCTCAAAACAACAGCAATCTTCAAGCCATACAGCTAAACCAAGAGTCTGCTGTGCACCCCAGTCTTCTTATATGAGCCCCCTCAGAGGGTTCTCCCTGGGACAGGGTATTTGGCATTTTACAGATCTGTGCCTTTGTATTTACAGGGTGTCTAGAGAAATGTAGTCTCTCTCTCTCTCTCTCTCTCTCTCTCTCTCTCTCTCTGTGTGTGTGTATGTGAGAGAGAGAGAGAGAGAGAGAGAGAGAGAGACTGACAGACAGAGATTGATTTTAACTCAGGAGGTTTAGACTCTGAAGCTTGAAGTGTTCATTTCATCATATTTCTTGGGATCCAAGTTTTCTTCATGTCCTAAAGAGTGACGATCAACTACGAGGGAGGAAAAAAGGGACCCTGAAGAGCAGAGACATCCAGCAGAGGTGAAGGCCAAGTGCAGACAGCAGCAATGCAGAGGCTGTACTGGGGCGTATAGGGACATTTGTTCCTGACCTCCAACCCTGGAAAGCTTTTAGCCAGGAGTTCCAGACAAGTACTCACAAGCACAGCCCCTGACAAGGACACTAGAACAATGTTCACAGGTCCAGCCACCCGGTGACGGTGACATACGTGGCAGCTGCAGCTGCCTCTTCCGCTGAACTGTGTGTGTGTGTTGGGGGGAGGGGGGGTGAAAGAACCCCACAGTGACAGAACTGGCTACCTGCTGGAAGCGAAAGGACTCGGATCGTTTCTTCTGGTTGAGTTGCCACTCTTTAAAGTGCAGTACAGCCTCATCCACATTGACGATGCCCAGCTTCACCTGCTCCTGCAGGGTAATGAGCTGCCGCTGGCCAGGTGTTTTCATCCCAGCAAATGGGTCGTAGATGCTCGACGGGGGCCTGTCCCTCCATGGCCTCACGGGTGGCTCTGAAAAGAACGGTGGAAGTCAGCGTGATAACTCCCAGCTGGGAAAAGCAGACCTGAGACGTGACGGTAATGACGGTGGCACAGGCTCCAAGGAGCAGCCTGCCACAGCCAAAAGAAACAATGACATGTGGAACTAAGATGGGGTGGGGGGGGGGACCTGGAATGAGGAAGGGGAAGTTGCTAATAATTTCAAAGCCTATTGGAGTAAAGCAGACAGAGCTATAACACGGGAGGGAGGGGCCAAGTCTGTCGACCACACTGAACTTTGACTGTGAAGGCGTCTAACCCAGCCTTTCTCCACCCAGAGACTGCTGATATTTTGGGGTAAACAACTCTTCACTGTGAAGACCGGTTCTGAGCAGCATCTCTGGCCACCACCTACTGCGTGACTTTCCTTGGATTTGGAGATGGAAAATGTCCCCAAATATTGCTAAATGTCTTCTATGGATGGGAGGGCAAAATGTTCTCTATTGAGAATTAGAGCTTTATATATAAATCCACTCCCAGAACAGATCAATATACAGAAAGGGTCCAGGCAGGGAACTTCTCCCAGCCCTGTCTCTGAACAATGGTTGTGGACTGATGGACACAAAATGCCAATGGAATTGCCACCCAGGTCCAGCGGCACTGGTATAAATTAGGAGCTCAGTTCCAGCAGACTGTCCTTGGGCTGCTCTGTGCCAACCTCTATTTCATTATGACTGAGGACAGCTGTCCACTTCCAAGGCTGGGAGCCAGTCAGCCCCTCTCTAGGCTGTGACTCCACATTCCTTAGGGGAATGAACTACTTGCAGAGATGATGGGGGCACTGGGACATGGGAGGACAATGTGACATCTTATGTCTCAGTTCACATAGCATGTTCCAGATCTCCCATGTGACTACTGTCTTTCAGGAATGTCTCTGAGTGCTCAGACACTCTTTAAAAGGGCCGCTCTTCTAAAGATTCTCAAGCGGGGTGATTCTGAATGCCTATGCCTAGCAGAAGAAGACAGCTCAAGGGTTGTGGGGAATTCTCAGCTCCTTTCAAACTTCCTTGAAAGGTCTTTGAGAAAAATTGCATGTCCCCATTGTTATCCAACATGAAACTAACTTTAATTAGAGTTGGGTCAAAGCACAGTGGGGCTGGTAAAGACAAGAGGGCTGTGCCACACTTGGTGCTGGCACTGCCAGGCTCTTGGCATCAGCCTCAATTCTCCATTCTACATGGACATTTGTGTATTAGTGCCCTCTGTGGGGTCAGTTTGTACAGTAATCTAGAGTACCCCTGTCTCTCCCCCTTCTCCTTTGCCTCCAGTAAGAGATACTCATGCAGTATTCCTGATCTCTCGACGTGAATGCCACGCTGTCACTGCCATGCACGGCCAGCCTTGTTACGGGAATATTTCTACAAGTTCAGTTCCTACATGGGACATTCAGGACAAGCTCTGGTTTACCTTCTCTGATGTTCTCTGAAGAAACATAGAAATTCCCAGGTCGCTCCTGACTTTTTTCTGCAAAAACTGTGAAAGAAAGAACATTCTGAGTGAAGGCAAAACGTCTCTTTCTCAGGGGCTCTGTCAAACATTTACAAAACTGTATGCATTTACGAAAAATAACCTTGTGAAAAAACAAGTAATAAACATTTAGTAGTGACCATTGTACACATATTTCTGGAAGAAAATAGTGAGAGAGAGCAGAAAGTGTCAAAAAGACAGGACAGACACACAGGTTCTCCAGATTAAAGACGAAGTCAGCCAGAGGGCATCAGCACTATGTCTCAGATTGTTAAAGGAAAAGGTAAGCCATGCGGTAGTGGTGCACGCCTTTAATCCCAGCACTTGGGAGGCAGAGGCAAGCAGATCTCTGAGTTTGAAACCAGTGTGGTCTACATGGTGAGTTCCAGGCCAGTCAGAAATCATTCACAGAGGAACCCTGTCTCAAAAAAACCAAAGAAGGAGGACGACGAAGATGAAGACGAAGATGAAGGAGAAGAAGGAGGAAGAGAAGGAGGAGGAGGAGGAGGAGAAGGAGGAGGAGGAGGAAAAGAAAAGGAAAAGAATGAATAAAGAAAAGAAGAAAAGGGTTATAGGGTCTGGAGAAATGCTAAAGTTAATAGAGTATTTGTTGTCCAAACCTGAGGTCCCCAGCACCCACACACCTGCTGGGTATGGTATCCCATATCTACAATCCCAGCACTGGAGAGATGGAGACAAGATTCCTGGAGCTTGCTGGCCAATAGCCGAATTGGTGAGCTCCAAGCTCAGTGAGAGAAACTCTCTCACAAAAATATGCTGGAACAACTGAGGAGCGCTACCCAGCATCAAACTCCGGCCAAAGGCAGCCACACAAACACATGCACCCGCATAAACTACACACAAGGAAGGGGAGAAGGAAGGAGAGGGAGGGAAAGTGCTATGGGAGGAAGGATGTGTGCCAGGATCCCCAAACAGAAGCATCTGCGAAGACCTGCAGCTAGAGAAGGCCTACGACCTGGCAGGCCCATCTACGATAAAGCAGAACTCTACCTGGTAGAACAAGTAAAATGTGTCCTTCCAGGGGAAGCAAGAGGAAGCCACTCATGAGGAACAGGCATAGGACAACAGGAGACTGGAAAGTGAAACCCTCTGTAAGTGGTAGTCTGACAAGGTCATCTCATAGCTCCCTGGGATCTGAAGGAGGCCTCCCCAGCTAAAATCCCTGCTCTGCCCTCATGTGTCACGTGATCTTGGATGAGAAGCTTGACTTTCTCCATGCTTCTGTTTCTTGTATGCAGAATGAAGACCAGAAACAGTGACTCCATTGGATTGCCATGGAAATTGAGGGCTAGCGCATAGAAAGTGCGTAAACATTGTCGGGCACACACGAGCATGCAACCTTAGCTTTAAGTACTTCCTAATGCAGTGTTTCATCTGGCCCTCACAACCGTTGTAGCAGAGTACCGTCACTTCTCATGACATGTACTAATGTAGACACACATTACAGGATAACCATTTCTAGGTAAGGAAACCCAAGCCAAACGGGTAAAGTGGCATATCCCATGTCCTATGATGTACAGCAAGAAGTTAGAGGTGAATCTATTCCAAGCCACTGCCCCTTTGTCACCTTGTGACCTACTGTCCCAGCTCCACTGCCTCTCTGCAATAAGTTGACACTTTTTCTTCCACTTACAAATTACCACTGTACATCTGTGGGCTCGGAAACTGTCCCTGAGATGAGGATTTGACGGCTAGTATTCTGTCTGGGAAGTATGGCCGTTACCCTTCACTGTCCACCTAACTAGATTTAGAGCCAGCATGGAAACACACCTCTAGGTGTGACCATGAGGGCATTTCCAGAAAAGGCTATTCACAGCATACAGAGGGGAATTCCACATCAGTAGAGGTAGGAAGATCCACCATAAATGTGGGCAGCACCATCCGATGGGCTGGTGTCCCATACCGAATAAGGAGAGAAAACAGAACCGGGCTGGTAGACCACATCTCTCTGTTCCCTGACTGCAGACTCCATATGACCAGCAACTTCCCATGCGTGCCACTGCAGCTAGTGCCGTTTTTGCTGCTCCACCTTCCCCACCATGACGTGCTGACACCCCTGACCTGTGAGCAAACAGCCAACCTCTTCTTATTAGATATTTTGTCACCGCAATGAGAAGGTAACTATGATAGGAGGTGACCAACGTGAGATAGGAAGTGAATGAAAACAGTACATGGTGGGCTATCAAGCAAGGTACCACACCTGGGCGAATGCACAATATGCAATTCAGAGTCCCACAAGACGGCAAGCACATTGGGTCATTCATGCCTAGAGCAGGGGCCATCTATGATAATTCCCCAGGGTCTTCAGCCTACCCTGAAAGATGGCAATGGAGCACCACATGCTGGAGAAAACCCTCAGGAAAAGACACAGCAGTGCACTAAAGGGGTGTGGGGGGAGCTAGGCAGTGGGTAATATCCGGTGGACATGCTAAAGGAGATGCTGCCCAAGGACAAGCAAATCTTGGTGACACAGAACGTCCCACAGTTGTGGTGTAACTAACTTAGGGTTGCTAGACTGAGTAAAAATTAAAGCCAAAGAAGGTAACTACTTGGGACATAGTTACATTAAAAAATGTATTTGCATGGATAGAGAGATGTTTCAATGGTTAAGAGCACTGACAGCTCATCCAGAGGACCTGGTTTCAACTCCCAGCACCCACAGGGCAGCTCACAACTGTCTGTAACTCCAGTTCCAGAGGACCTGACACCCTCACACAGACACACATACATGCAGGCAAAATATTAATTTACATGAAATAAAAATAAATAAATTTTAACAATGTATTTGCTGCTTGTGTTCAATTTAGAGTGAACTGGGCATCCTGTATTTTATCTGAAAGTCCCAAGCCAAGTTACCTGAGGCTCTGGCTGGGAGATCCCTGGCCTCTTTAAGATCTCCCCATGTCTCATCTTCCACAATACGTGCTATTAAAAATGGATGAGCGGTCAGGAGCAAGTACAGAGCTTGCAATTTTGCTCACACTGAATGTAAAAGCATATTAATATAATCAAGGTCCGAAGTGCAGCAGCAAAGCCTTCCATATCTCACTGATGAACAATAATGAAGAAATCACACTAAATTCTTTCCACCTTTTATTAACATCGGTAAGTAGTTAGTTAGCCTGAGATAGTAGCTCAGCATCCGCTGTGGAGTCAGGGTCCCTGGGGCCCAAGCCCTGGCACTTCTGTGTGGTGGCTGACCTCTTGCGCCTCCATTTCCCATCCATAAAATGGGGATCAGGGCCTTTACCTAATAGGTTATTGTAAAGGTTAAATGCAAAGAATGTCCCTGGTAGATTTCAACAAGTGCCAGCCATTAAAATGATTAACAGTGATTACAGAGCAAGTTACGAGATATCAATGTATTAGTTTGTCATGGACCTCTGTCCTTACAATTGCACACGAATGCTTCCAGGAAGGCAGCACTGAACTGCCCTGGCCTAACTCCAGAGTTTGTGCTCTATGACCTATGACCCTGGCTGGAGACCATCCAGAAGACAATCAGTGCAGATGACCAGGGAACCAGGAAGTTCCTACTGAGCACTATCCCTCGCCACACTTGTCGGGAACACTTAGCAGGGTAGTGCATGGGAATTAGAAAAATAAGTCAAGAGTACGGAGACATGAGTAAAGATAATAAAACAGAAATATAGGATAGTTCCGGGAGGGAGTTCCAGTGAATACTGAAATTTTGCCCGTGTTTAATTTCCTTACACTTTTATACCCTGATACAAGAAGGAGAAGAAGGCAAAGGACTGCTTTAACATGATACAAAGGACAACTGGAACTGTTACTGGCTTCAGTACTTTAGACATCAAGTCATTAATTCATAAAAAAAGCATTCTGTTGCTCATGTAGTGAACCCACTCTAGATCAATTATCCCGAAGGCAGCCACTCCCTAGGTCAAATCTCCTAATTTAAAAGAAGGAGCAGAAGTACGTTTGAATTCTCTGACCTTCAGTCAGGGTGAAATGGATCTACCTGTATGGATCTTCTTAATGTCCAAAACACCAAGTAACCACACCCTACGACATAGTGTGTAGCCACACTTATTGTTAACGACTTTGAACAACCTCAAACTCTCTAACCTTCAGACAAGGGGGAAATAGGTTTACATTTTTGGGCCTCCACACACTTGCCTTTAGAAATGTATGGCTTGTTGTCGGGCAGTGGGTGAGGGCCAGGAGCACTGGCCTCTGGCCTGGGCACGGGGACAGGAGGCCTGTTGGCCAGGTCCACAGAAAAGGTCTCATCTTCATCCACAGTGTGATAAATGTCTTCCCGGTAGGAATGGTACTGCTCTCTCGCCAAACTGGCTGGTTTCACGCTGTTACCTAAAACACAGAGAGGTTATTCAGTACAGTGGTCCAGGAAATTGAAGGACTGCAGGTCTAAGACCAAGTGAGTGTTCTTGTTACTAAAGTAACATCCTGTGGCAGAGGCTTCCCTTGAGATGGCTCCTGCGCCATTTGCTCAGAACCCATGAAAGCAATGAGGACACTAAGGTCTCCTTCATCTGCCACCCACTCAGTCCAGGACAGCAGCACGGGCTCGGCTGCCTCACTTTCACAACTAGGACTCTGTTGTTCACCTTAGTATAACTAAGGGAGAGAAAGCACCCCCACTCCCAGGCCTGAGCACTTCCAGAACCTCTTCCTGGTGTCCAGGCAGCAGTGAGACAATGCCCTGGTTCCTCACCGCTGACCACTCCCTTGCGCTCCCCACAATGACTACAGAACGTGGCTCCTCCTTGCTGAGCACAGTTCTGGGTGCATTTCCTGAGTGATGACTGCATCTGGTTTACAAAAAAGCTCTTGGGTTGCTGCTACCAGTAACCACAGTTTGCATATGATAAAAATAACAACAACAATAACAACAACAACAAAAGCCAACTGAACCTTTGAGGATTTAAATAACTTGTTCCAAGAGCCCAGGGGCCAGCCTGGTACCCAGGGATACTATCTCTGGAGTGACCCTTCTTTCCACTATCTGTTTCTCTCACAACTGCACACCGTTCCCCACTAAGCAAAACCACTGAGGTCAGATGCTTGCCTTCCCCTTCCTGCCCACCAGCACCCCACAACCCCACGTTCTCTGTAAAGATCTGCCCTTCCTGCCCACCAGCACCCCACAACCCCATGTTCCTTATAAAGTTCTGCTTCTTTGATTGACACCACTCAATCAACAAATCTTCCTCAAATGCCTGCTTGAGGTATAAAATTAGAGTTTGGGTCTCCTTCCTGTGGGGGTCACAATGCGGTGATTTACTGGGACTTCTGTGTTTCCACTACATCTTTGCTGAGCTTCAGAGAGGTCACCTTTGTTTCTTGGGGTCCTGTGTCCAGGGGACTGGCCAGGTTGGTCCCAACTAATTAGAAAACATGTGTTCAAAAAAAGAAAAAAGAAAAAGAAAACACGAGTCCCTGGGCTCTGGCCTTAAGAAAAAGGTTTCTATGTACCTGCTTATCTTAGCATTTTGCACAAGGGAAGGAGGGAACTTTGAGAAGGGCTGCAACCAAGAGAAGTATCCTGGGAGAGCTGCCAACCACCCTGAAGGGCAACCGTGGCTCTCAGAATGGCTTGTCTTCCACTGACTCTAAACAGTTGACCTTGCCTCAGTTTTTTATCCTGCTTTGGGAAGGCAGTTTCCTCTGATCAGAATCTCCTTCATGCTACCTTGTGCCAGGCCAGGCTGGCACAGTCTCAGCCACACTGTGACCTTCCCAGAGAGGCCCCGTTGACCTCCCAGTTTAAGCTGAACTGCTATTTATGCCCACTGTGTTTCATTCCTTCGCTCCACGGCCCTGCCGTGATGGGAATTTATTATATTAGTGGGTTGGGCTCCCTACCTTTCTCCCTCCCTTGTCTGTCAGCTGCAGAGGGAAGGCCCCAACCCTGGCCCTCCACATTGTCCTACAAGCAAACACCGGCTTTCCACACTGTATGTGCTCAGTTACACCCTTAGAACAGAGCAACGGATGAACTCTGGGTAAAATGTGGGCCAAGCATAGAGCCATGTCTCAGATTTGAGCCTCCCTATGGTGAGTCTGCCTTCCCTCCCAGTAGTCTCCTGACCTGGGCTGGGCAGACTCTGGGGAACCGCTACATTATCAGAACAAGAGGCAGTCCTGTCTTCTGCAGAAGAAGAAAGCTTCATGGCTTCAGACGGCAAGAGAGGGCAGACTTGTGCAGAAGTGGTATAAATAGAATTCCTCCCTTAGCAACATCTGTCCACAGACAAGCATTTGTAAGGAAAGCATTGTTGGAAAGCTGTGCATTGTTAGGGTTTTGTGACCTCCTCACCATCTGACAGGGCCTCCAGATAATCATAACCAATCCCTTGGCTCCTGCTGCCCAAATAGATATGATTTTCAGGAAAAATATTCCGTTCTACCCAAGCTGCCAGGTTCCCTAGAAACAAAATATAGTAGAGAAGCCAAGGAGAGCCACTTGACAGGACACATGCTACCCACAGCCAAAGGTCACCTCAGAGGACCTTGGTCTGTGCTGCTGGGTCCCTGAGAGGATGAATTCTGACCCGTATCTCAGCCTCTCCCATCATGATCCGATTGTGCCGTTTAATGTCATTAACTAATGATTTAAACTGACAGCTGATATGTGCCAGACATCGCTCTGTGCCAGGCTCCACATTTCACTGGGAGCAGAGAGTTAATCCTGCCTAGAACTCTTTATAACATTACTGCTGACTGGCTGAAGGCCACATGAGTGACATGAAGGACAGGCCTTCAGAGCTGGGCCTGGACCACTTGTCTTTACCGTTACACCCACACCTCTCTTCTCTCCCTCACATCATCAGATCTGTACCCCTCCCCATTCCTCAGAGCTGCAGAATGCCAAGAAATGCTTCCAGAATCATACCAGGTAGAAATGAGAGGCTGAGTAGAGGGACTGAGAATGATTGCAGTTTTATCTGCGGTGTAGGTGAATATCTGTGCAATATTTTGTATGAAAACAGTATTCTGGACCCATTCATAACTTTTGGAACCTATGTGACATGACACTACCAAAATCATAAGACCTACTCCCCGAGACCCAGGAGTTCTGTCCTGGCGCTTCACTGTAGGCGTACTCTCAAATGCGTGCAGAGAGGTTACATACAACAAAGGCATTCCCGGCACTGAGGCTTACGAAAGCACAGAGCGGAACACTGGCTACCATAAGAGGATGTTCAGGTGCCTGCGGAAAAGTTAATGTTGTACTGGTATGACATAAACTAAGCATGAAAGAAGACATGGTATTAATATATTAATATATCCAGAGAAACTCGGAGACTCTAGGGTGAGAGAGAGCAACTTTTCTCACTGCTTTAACTTTTAGGGCCAGATGTGGTGACTCACACCTGTCATTTCTGCAGGTGGGGGACCAAGGCAGGAGAACTGCCATTCATTTAAGGCTAGCCTGGATTACATTGTGAATACCAGACCAGACAGGTCTACATAGTCTTGTCTCATTTGTGCATGTGTGTATACGTATGTGTGTATGTGTGTGCATGCTTTTTGTGTCATTCGAATTTTTATTATTTTTATGTGTTACCTTTACAATAGTAAGATCAGAAAGTACTGCCTTGCAGCCAAGGCTCTCACAGTGACCCAATGGCCCAGCAGTAGCAGAGTCGCCTGGAACTGGAAAGGACACCGAGACTTGCTGAACCCCTAGACCCGCTGAACCCCACAGTGGTGAGCCTGTGCCTTCGAAAGCACGCCAGGTGGATGTGGGGCACACTGAGAGGTGGGGACCACTGCCAGAGTGGGGAGACGGTAAGCTCAACTGCACCGGCATGCACTAATACCTGTGTGTGTGTCAGGAAGCGAGAGACAGTGTCCTCATCCCATTATCCCGGAGTCTTGAGCAGGTTACAGAGAGCGGCCGAATTTGAGGGTAATTTGCCCTAATCCGACAAGGACAAGTTTGCCTATGTAGATTCTCTTGATACCTTAAATGACACACTGCTCCCCTGCATTCCCATGGCACCCAGCACATTTTTATTTACGCTGAACTATGCTTTTCTTCCTAAAGGAGAACTCACTTAGGGTGTGTGTTTACCTCCTCTGCAGGGCAGGACCGAGTCTTGCCCATCCCTCGACACCAGGGATTGGCACAGACTTAAGGCTTGATGAGGGACCGCTGGGAAATGATCATTTCAATCCAGCATCACATGACATCGGGACGACAGGAGGCTGCTACCGTCAGGTCCTAACTCACATGCTATTCCCTTCATAAGGTGACGTGCAACCAGGGGTCGAAGGAGGCACCCCAAGGCAGGCTCAGAAGCCAGGAAGGGCTTGAATTGGAGTTCCCACACTCTGCTTACTGCCTCTAAGACCTTGGAAACTCACCCTGTCTGTTCCTTTGTTACCTCTCCTGCTGAAAGCAGCAGTACCTAATTTACAAGGTTGCAAGAATTATGCAATGTGTGTCATGCATCAAGTCCTTAAGCTAGGCCTGGGCACTGCTGAAGACAGCAGGGCAAGCCTGAGGCCGAATAATGAAGTCGGTCAGGAAAGCATCTCTGTTCTCATCCATGGCCCTCTTGGTGTCTGGTGCTAGCTGAGGAACCTAACCAAACAGCTGATCCTCGACCGCCCAGACCTCTCTCCTCAGGTAAAGAGGGTGTTAGAGTGGGAGTCAGTGGGTAATAAATGTGCCGGGCCCTGCAGCACAACACCCAATGCAACCCCCCACGCTGCCCAAACCTATATACTAGGAGCATACAAGCAGCCATGAGTAACAGCAAATGAATGGGCATGGCGAATGCTGAGCAAGCTATTGGCAGGGATGGGCAGATGCCCAGGCGGTGATTTGCCTACAGTGCCCAAACCATTTGACCTCCAAGTCTCATGCCCTCAGCACTCTGCTTCTATAGCGACTTGACTGACAGGCCCGCCATAATCATAGATGACTGGGCAGAGAGACGCAATCACTCACGCAGTGTAACGCCGTACACCTCTGATAGTGCCTATAATAATAACAGCAATGATCAGGAAGCTTTGTCAACTGCTTCTTCTGTGCCGGGTCTTAGGTGAACCCTATTTTCACTGAAACTTCCTTGATTCTCACCACAACCTGCCTGTTCAGTGCACCAGGCAGAACTGTCTCATTCTACAGCTGAGGAGATAAACGCCTTGCCCGGGTCCTTCCAGATAGCTGGGAGGAAAAGGAACACAGATGAGGGCCACACTCTTAGCCACTGCCATGCTGCCTCTGCTTGGTAAAGAGGGTGTATAGACCCATCCTTTACTAGAAAGCAAGGTTTCCGTGAGATCACATCTTATTTTGTTTCAGGTTTACAGTCCCAATATCCAGAACAGTCCTTTCTGCACATAGTAGGTGATTAATTATTTTTTTGTCAAATAAAAACAGGTATGTAGTTTAAATGAAGTCTTCTTGGAAGTAAGTAGTTTAGTGTAGTGAAAGACTCCAGTCATGAACCTCTGGCCTGTCTCTAACAGGCTGATGGGGAAGATCGGGGTAGGTGTGGAGGGAGGCAGAGAGCCGTTAACCATCATATGTCACGTTTGTGCCAACCCTTGAGACTGACGCTTCATATGGAATCAGGCAACACTGTCTGCTTGTTTCCTTTTGGCTTTCTGCATTCCTGCTCACAGCTACAACTTACCTTCTAGGAACTTGCGGATCATTGAGTCCTTGGTGGGCCGAGAGAAGCTTTCTCTAGAGCCTGGGTTGCCTGCACTGGCCTGAAGCATTTCAACATCTGGAAGGAAAATGAGACAGAGTCAATGTGCTGTTTGTTCTTCCACACAGGCGAGGAGGCTCGGATGGATTTGGAAGGTTATCCAAGGCTTACCCTTCTCCCCTTCCCCACTTCTCCCTCCTTATCTCAGTCCCTCTCTTCCTCTCATTCACCCACCTACTCATCCATCCATCCATCCATCCATCCATCCATCCATCCATCCTTCCTAGTAAGTGTTGAACATTAGGGAATGTGATAAGCACAACACCCAAGCCTTTCCTTTGAAAACAGGCCTCCAAAGACAGACACACTCGTCTGTGTTTGAAAGACTAGGTTTAATTTAAAAAATATACATTGCAATATTGCTTATTACAGTAAAAAAATGGGTACTGAAACAATGGAGAACAGACAGATCATGGTTTGTTCAAACGACAGAAGATTATATAGCAGTTAAAAAAAGAATATCTTAAAGCCACTTCTACTAACAAAGTTATAGCTCAAAAACATAGCAGGTGATGATGTTAGATGTGAGTGATTACAGTACATATAATTGATGTGGGATTCCCTTCTGTATGCTGTGAATGTTTTATTACCGTTGATTAATAATGAAGCTTCTTTGGCCTATGGCAGGACAGAATATAGGTATGTGGGGAAACTAAACTGAATATAGGAAGGAAGAAGGCAGAGCCAGAGAGATGCCAAAGAGTCTTACTGGTAAGCCACAGTCTTGTGGCGATATACAGATGAATAGAAATGGGTTAATTTAAGATATAAGAGCTGGTTAGGAATATGCCTGAGCCATTGGACAGACAGTGTAGTAATTAATATAGTTTCTGTGTGATTATTTGGGTCTGGGCAGCTGGGAAATGAAGTGCAGTCTCCATTTACATATAATACAGCATGGCAATGCATACATGCAGTACAGTATGACAGCTACACAGACTCTGAAGACCTACAACACAGTGTTGCAAACTGCATATAAACTAGGAAATGTACAGCGAACACAGAAGTGCCGGGCATGTGGCTGAATTCCTGACAGTGGCTACCTCTGATGAAGGGCTGAAGATGACCAGGCTCTGGAGACCTAATGGAGGATTACATCCAGGATCACAACACTTAATTTTTTTAACCCTCATACACATTATTGAAGATTCTGATATACCAAAGGAAAAAAATCAGAACTCTAAAAATCCCAGCAGAGCTCTGTGAGTTCAGGTTAGCCTGGTCTGTGTAATAAGTTTCAGGACAACCAGAGCTACATAGAGAGACCCTGTCTCAAAACAAACAAACAAACAAAAAAAGAATATAAATCTTCAGAATGATATTTTAGATAATTAATATGTTATCTTTAAGGAGGCAACATAAAATTTTATTTTTATGTTTGCACAAATATGTATAAATTTTGTATAAACATACACATGTACACACACACCCTGTTGTAAGGGGATATAAGCAATTAAGACTCAGTGGTTTCCTGGAACCTGAGGATATGGAGATAAGCAAGGAGAAATTATCCCACTGATCCCTTGCTATATTTTAAGGCCTTCTTTCACCTATTCAAAAAAAAAATAAATGAATGTTTTGACACTGTTTATGTTAACGTATTATCACTCAAATAATAACTATTTCATAACCCCAGTCTCATCAGAAAAGACAGTGGCATATCCAAATTGAGAGTTTACAAATAATCAACATGTCATCTTCAAGAGTACTGAGATTAAAAAAACCTGAGAATCATCCCAAACTAGAAGGGATGGAAGAACAATCTGTGCCTTGCACATCATAGTTGAGTGCTCACCGCTAAATTGAGTGCTCATTGCTAAACTGGGTGCTCACCGCTAAACTGAATGCACACCACTAAACTGGGTGCTCACCACTAAACTGGGTGCTAACCGCTAAGCTGATTGCTCACTGCTAAGTTGAGTGCTCATAGCTAAGCTGAGTGCTCATTGCTAAGCTGAGTGCTCACCACTAAGCAGAGGGCTTACCACTAAGCTGAAGGAGTGCTCACCAATAAGTTAGAACACCAACTCCAAAATAAAATTCTTTCTGAGGAGAGGAATGAATGAGTAGAAGAGTAACCAACAGAAAAGCAAGGAAGCATGACGCACCAGGAGGCCACTTTCTGTCCCCTATGCCATCGAGATAAAAACCTTCGGAGGACAGGCTCAGGTGGGTAGAATGACAAAGGTAGGACTAAACAAGGGACCCATGAGAATCCAGTTTCCTTTACTTTATAGTCATGTTTTCACTGATCCTGAGGAGTCTGACTTCAGAAGCAGGAAAAGCAGGCTTTGCCAAAGGTCAGCCTTTGAGTTGAGCTGGCAGTTAGAAGGTTGGGTATCAGACCACAATACACATCCCTGTCTTATTTCCTCTACTACTTCCCTTGTTTTTGCTTGTATGACATCACACCTACCGGCCTGGTGCTAACAAGTCTTTTATGGTGGTTCTCATCCTGTGGGTCCTGACCCCTTTGGGGGGCTGCATATTGGTTATCCTGCATATCAGATATTTACATTACAATTCAGAACAGTAGCAGAATCACAGTTATAAAGTAGAAGCAAAATAATTTCATGGTTGGGGGTCACCACAACGTGAGGAACTAACCAGAGACTCAGAACACCGGCCCCCCACTGGTATTCACAGAATGTGCAGCTCCTCCCATATCCAGACATGCGACCAATCAGGGGTCATTCTCATCCTAGGTAATGTTGCCTAGAAACACAGTTGACATTTGGCTCTTATCAGGTTACCAGGGTAACAAAGCTAGGAAGTCAAACAAAGGTCAAATTCTCATGCAGAAAAGGAAATGAAAAGTGTTTTTATTAACTTTGGCCGTCATTATCCCGGATCCACTCATTTCCATCTATTTGGCTTCTCTTTTCTTGTCTGTAAAACGATGGGAACAGCATAGCTCTCGAAGGTTTGTGGCGAGTGTCACCCGAGCAGGCTGCCAAGAGCCTGGCATGGTGCCCAGCGTGTATGGGTACTCTCTCACTACCACTTTCATTATTAACTCCTACATCCAGGCTACAGCCCTAAGCAAAGAACAATTCAAAACAGAAGGCTCAATTTACATGTTAAGAATTTCTCAGGGCTTGGGACATGGCTCTCTAGCAAAGAGCCTGCCTAGCATGTGTAAAACTGTGGGTCTGGTCCTCAGGACCACAAAAATGATTCTCATGGCATTAAGGATTGAACTTGGGAAAAAATTTAATTGACGCCATGCTTTATATATCTTTATGGGGTATATGTAATATTTTTTAAGACTTATTTTTATTATCTTGGTTGTGAGCATTAGCCTTTAACAGCAGAGCCATCTCTCCAGTCTATTTGTTAAGGCTTACTTTTAAGATTTATTTTTAATTATTATCATTATTACTATTATTATTACTACTACTGTTATTACTATTGCTACTACTACTATTGTTGTGTGTGTGTGTGTGTATGTGTGTGTGTGTGCGCACACGCGTGTGTGTATGCCATGTATGGTGGGTACCAGAGAGGCCAGAAGAGGGCATCAGATCTCCTGGAACTGGAGTGACAGGTGATTGTGAGCTGCTTGACATGGGTACTAAGAACAGAACTCAGGACCTCTGGGAGAACAGCAAGAACTACTAACAGCTGAGCCACCTTGCCTCCTATTTAGTTGTTCTTGTTTTAGGGTTTCATGCAGTGTGGGCTGGCCTTGAACTTACTACATAGCAGAGTATATCTTTGAATTTCTGGTCCTCCTGCCTCCTCTCCCAAGTGCTGGAATTGTACCACCCTCAGCTCACACGGTGATAATCTGATATATAAACGTGGTACACATCACAGTGAAAGCCAGGTTGATTAGCAGTTCCATCTCTTATCATTTCTTTGTCTTGAGAATCTCTGAACTTCTTTTAGTTCTTTATAAAATATGCAATAGATTTTTATACACTGTAGGCACCTTACTGACCAGAACAGCAGAATTTGTGCCCCCTGTAATTGCATTTTTGGTGCCCATTATCTTTTTATTGCTGTTTGTTTCATTTAGTATAATGTCCTTCATTCCCAATCATGTAGACACAAGTGGCGAGATTCTATTTTAAGGGTAAACACGACTCTCCACTGAACGCATGTACCATGCTTTCCTTACCCACTCATGTGACGATGGTCATCTCAGTCGACTCTAGACCATAATAATTGTCAAAAGTGTTTCAATAAAAATAGGGCATCTCCTCGACAGACTGGCTTCACTTCCACGGGAGCTGTCGACCCAGAAGTGGGACTGCCAGATCACGTTTAGCTTTGCCTTCCACACCCCTTTCCATAATGACTGTCCTAAGGAATCTAAGATTCTGCTTCTCGGAATCCGTGCTAACATATTTTGTTGATGCCTTTTTTTTTTTTCAATCACAGCCACTCTCGCTGGACTGAAATAGTACCTCACTGTGGTTTTAATTTGCATTTCCCTGGTGAGTCATGGTGAGTATTTTCATGTATTTGCCCGAAATTTGCATATTTTTAAAAGAAAAGTCTATATAGATGATTTCTTGCTAGTTTGAGTTTTTTCTGCTGAGTTATTTGAATTCATCATATGTTTTGGATACTAATTTTTTATTTTGATACAGGGTCTCTCCATGTATCCCTGGCTGCCCTGGACCTATGTAGACCACTGGGCTGGCCCTGAACTCACAGAGATCCACCTGCCTCTTCCTCCCAAATGCCTGGATTAGTCGTATCCAACACCACACCTAGACCTATTTTTTTTCAAAGATTTTATTCTTATTTATGTGCATGTGTGTCTTAGGGGGTGCACATGTCTTAGAGGTGATTGAATTCCCCCAGAGCTGGAACCACAGAAGGTTGTGAGCCACCTGTGAGTGTTAAGAACCCAACTCACATCCCCTGAAGGGGCACAAACGAACCCCCATCAGAATTTCACTCCCATTCTTTAGGTTTTCTCTTTACTCTTGATTTTCTTTGCTATACAGAAATTCCTCAGTTTGATAGAATGTTATTTGATAGAATGTTATTTGATAGAATGTTAT